AAAAAAGTTTCCGCAAATTCCCCCAACAATTTTTTTTTTTTTTTTTTTTTTTTTTTTTTTTTTTTGCTTTTAGCATCTGCATCGACTCTTGTTGCTCACTCCTCCTCGGCTGGGCCTTGCACTCCACAACACAAAACAAAGCCAAGCCACGCGGTTAAAACTCGTGGTTTTTATACGAACAGAAGTAGACCGTCTAGAAATATTTCAGTTTATTAACTCGGTAAGGAGAATACTAAACGGAGGTGGTAGCTAGTAGTACCAGCGAGTGGCCTGTTCTCTACCTGTTGGCTTGCAACGAACACAGCGTCTACAAAGGATCCCGAGGGATTTACACAGAGGGGGCCAAGCCCCTGGAAGCAAATAAAAAGCTCACGTTTAAAACAAGGATTATACAAAAAAAACCTTGATGTATATTTCTCCATTTTTCCCTTTTCGATAAGGTTAGAAAGTGCAGATTTAACCAAAAGGTAGCCGTACTCTATTTACAAGGCTGACCGGCGGGCGCGGGGCGCGAGAAAGGAAGGGTGCCGATTTATCCGCCAGTCCCGGCGCCCTGCCCGACCCCAAAGCCACTCGACTGGGAAGGGTTAACACACACGGAGACAAAAATGCCAAAGCACAGAGGCAAAGGGAGACACCTCGGTCAAGTTACTACACGGGAAGCCGTTCAAAACTAGAAGTTCAAGGTTAAAACACCATCATTTCATTAAAATTAAATCAGCGTTATTCACTACTGCGATTATTCACCGGAGACAGTCCAAAACTCAGCGGACAAGAGCGAGGCACAAGCTTGCCCACCCTGAAAGGAGGAGGGGAGGCTTGGGGAAGAGGGGCCTATTGAAAATATCTTTCTGTCCTTGGCGGGAGCAGCTCTCCTGCGTGGTGTTTCAAAGGCAAGGGAAGCGAACGCACAGCCGCTCCTGCGGCCCGGCCGTCCCCAAGCCCCTGCCTTTCCAAAGGGACGGAGGCGACACCGGAGCGAGGCCCGGAGCTGCGGGCAGAGCCCGACGGCGAGCTGGAAAAGCGAGTTAATGCCAGGGGAGCCCGGCAGCTCCGTTGGGATCGCCCGCCGCGGTCCCGCAGCGCGGGAGAGAGGGCAAGGCTGACCCACGTACCAATGACTCCGCTTTTAACACTGGAAAATGGAAAGTTTTCAGGGAGGTAATAAATTAAACTGCCAACTTCTTTTTTTTTTTTTCCTCCTTTTTTTCCTTTCTTATTGTAAAATCTAGTTTCACTCAGCCTTTTGCTAGGCTCCCGAACAACTTGTTGGAGCGGCTAACAGTAAGAGAGAACTTACAAGTTCACGTTAACTGCTGTCAGTTTGGGAATTGCATGTTATATTCATACACATAAAGTAGACAACCACATCACCCTCCATAGAAAACTAGTGCATGCAAATAACTCTTCCATATCATAAAACCCAACGGCTATGCAGGAGGAGAGAGAAGATATACTAGTGAACTGACATCGGCTAGAGGGAAATTAGTAGGTATCTTCAACATTTTTACCTTGAAAGCTAAATCAGTGCTTTGTATTAAATTTTTGGCAAACATACCGCGTTGCCATCCTTTTAATTAACACATCACACCATGAAGAAATGCAAATAAAAGCAGCATGCAGGCAAAAGGGAAGAGCTGCGAGTGAGAAAAGAAAATGGCAGCAGGAACAGTTCTGAATGGCTAGATCACCAAAAAGGAGACACAGCAGAGTAAATGTTTTTTTTTTTTTTTTTTTTTGCACCACCCTTTGTCCTCGATGCATTACACCAACAATTACGGAAAGCAATCACAAAAGAGTTCGGTATTTTAAAATGGTCAAGTATGGATGGTATGTCTCCTGCACATGCTTCCACCAGAAGAAAAGAAATTAAAAAAAAAAAAAAGGCGAAAACAAAAGTTCCTTTCCACATAAGGCACAGGACAAAATAAACCCCATTCACATACTCAAGGCGAAAATGAGTGTTTTCCTGGCTCTTTTGCTGATGCATCTAGAGAATATGGTGACTCAAGCACATTATCCATGACAGAAAATTCCACTGTTGTACAAAATAAATTGTTAATTCTAACTTTTATTCTTATACCATTTGCAGAATAGAGTTGAATATGATTGCTATATGTTTTCATGTCAGGAGGAACGGGACTATAATACAACCAAAACGTAGTGGTAAGTTGAGCAGGTACATGAAAAAATGAACTCACGGAGATGATTTTCCTATACACGTTGTTGAGAAAATTATAGTACGCAAGCTCTCCTAAACGGAAAAACAAAGGGAGACAGGAGCTTGTTAAGGTGAGGAACAAAACATGGGTTTAAGGTTAAAAACGGGCAGAGTGGTTTGTTTTGCAGCGAGAAAAAAGGGGCGGTGGATGGCGATTGGTGATATAGGAGAACGCTCAGCAACACTTGCTCTTCCAGCCCGTCACCCCACCTCCACTGCTGATATCTACATTTTCACTGTTGGGCTCTTTTACAGGGGTCTGCAATGAAACAAGTGAAAAAAAAAAGTTAGATGACTCACGGGACATTCTGAAATAAAGTATTCAGAGCTGAAGAGTTAGCGGCTTACAAAAAGACTTATTAGATATATATAATATTATGAATAAACTACGGACAGAGAGCTCCACAGAAGCGTAAGGAATCCTCCTCCCCTTGCCAGCAAAAGTATGCAAAACCAATTTAAAGGTTTCTTGTTTTGTTTTAAATAAACAACAACTGGAAAAAGCTGGGGAAAAAAAACCCCAAACTTTTGAACTTGGACCACCCCAAAGTAAACTAAAACTATTTTTAGGTCCTGCTCTTAGAACCGACACTTGGACTTTGGTGGAGTAAGTAAATCACAGTGTACAGCTAACACAAGCTGAAGTTACATTACGTGAACTAATGACCTTAAAACCCCACAGAGTAATTTATGGATAAAGAGGGGTTGTTCAAAAGCATCTGCCTTCCAGTTAACCGGGACACCAGTTTCCGAGGCAGCGGACAAAACAGGCTCGTCTGCGTCACGGGCTGTAAACTTGGTTAGACCAAAGCAAAAAATCAAAGTCAAGTGGTTTTGATCAGATGCTAACATCTCCTTTCAGCTGTTTAGAAACCAACCTAAACATTCATGAGATTGCTGCAGTTTCATCTCTACGTTCCTTTTATTCTTCTCTTTGGCACAGCCTTGCAAAAGCAACGTCCCACCCCGTTCTTCAGATAAATACATCGAGGCCCAAAAATAAAAATTTGAAAGTCAAAAGGGTCAGTAAGACTTGCCAGCCTGACCTCCTGTTTTCCAAAGGCCAGGGACTTTCATCCAGTTTTTCACATAAAGCTTGCCAAAAAGCGATTAAGAAACAACTCGGAACTACAACGGCGAACCAGACGTTGTTGAGCAGATGTATATTTAAAAGGGTTGCAAAAAGATTCAGCGCCGACCTTGCACTGAATTTCTAACCTATTCACTCGGATGACGTTACCAATGGCGCTCACGCAGGAGAGCGGTGGAAGACAGCGATGAAGGCGGTCTCAACGCGGGGCAGTCCCTACTGCTACGCTGGAGCACAGAAAAAACACATGGGCTCATTCGTTTAAGAGCAAAAGCAAAATGCTAGAGTTGGCCAACCCACGCTGCTTGAGCTCCGCTGAGATTCAGAGCGGGAGAGGCATGACCTGATCGTAAGCATCAAGCCCTCGGCTATGGGAGTACATCAACTAACGGGAAGCCGCCCTGGAGCCACCCACGTATCCAGCCCAGCCCCGTCCTCCAGCAAAACAGTGGCAGCTATTGGAAGCTGATGCATTTTCTACTCATGAAAGATAGGAGGGATACAAGTACAGCGTATCCTGTAGCTCTGGGCATACGAAGATTTGGGTACAGGCCACAGAAAAGACACCCATCTTTATGGTACGTGGTACGTTTCAGGAGGGGAAGCCAACCACCAGGAAGAACTGGTGACGCACGTTCTTCTCGCGGCTGCAATACAGCCTTCCAATAAAACCTCCACCGAAACGCGGAGGCCGAGAGGGCTAATCACCAGAAACAGGGTAGAAGTGACAGAGCTCGTTCATCTGTTCTGTCAGCCACGTCTAAGCTCTTCCCAACAGGGGCTCAAGAGTTTTTAAGACAATGTTGCGTATCAATGGAGATGGTGGCAGGGAAAGGACAATTCTCTTCCACGCCAATGAAATGTTTTAACTCCAAGCACGTCTACAACACAACCATGAGTTTAAGGGCCAAACAACTGTGAGTTTACGTTCCTTGGCTCTTTGATGTATACTACTCCCTCTACATCAAACGAGCTTTAGAAGCTTAGAAGCTTTAGATGTACCATACTCCTCCTTCAGGGACTCGTTTGTCTCAGCGTGCCAAAGTCAAAAGCTGCAACAATTCAGGTAAACATCAAAAGCAACAGGAGCCGAAATTTTAGGATTTTTTTTTCAAACGAATCCTGTAAACACCTACCTTTCGAAGAATGTCTTCTGCTAATGTGAGGAATGCCTTCTCAATGTTTATATTTGCTTTCGCACTAGTTTCGAAAAACCTAATACCGTGCTCCCTAGCAATCTAAACCAAGAAAGAAAGAAGGAGGTTAGCGTTACTGTAGTTATTCAATTGGTGCTGCTGTAACTTCGGGATTAGCGGCATTTATAAGCATGTAATGTTCTTTCAGCTGTAGCAGGCACCAGAAGTACTAGCTAGGCAAAGTGGCACAAAGGAAGATTCGGAACTTCACGATTCAGAAACAGCAATTCAAGTGCATTAAATGACAAGTCAACGTCTGAACGTAAGACGACAGACGCCATACAAGCCTGTCCCATGGTAAGTAACTTCACAAAGGGTGCCTGAAAATGTTTAGTTATCAAAGAAAGCAGAAACTGCAGCTGAACTCGTTCCATTCACAGCAGCTGTTTGCAACGCAGCTTCCGAGACGCCATTCCCCAGGCTTCCAAACCATTAGCAAATCCAGCTACCGCCTGCGTTCCCTGGCACATCCCCTGGCGGCATCTCAGCCACCGCGAGATGGCGGGAAGTCTTGGCGCTGATTTGCTTACTTTGATAAGCAAGTTTTTGTCCGACACTTACCTGTTCGCCTTTTGCTTTAGGGACAACTCTTTTATCTTCCATGTCACACTTGTTTCCTAACAGCATCCTCTCCACATCTTCATTGGCATGCTAAAACGAGACGAGACAGGTTTACGCGTCTCCCCCCACAAGCACTAAGTATCTACTTCACTTTTGTATTTCCAGGCTGTTTGAAGTCCAGGCTAACGCTCACACGTCTCGGTGTCCTGCGCTTTCCTGAGCTGTAACAGACTGCTGGAAATCATTCTTCAGACAGTGCCTTCAGACCAAATTGCTCACATAACCTGGAAGCTTTGATGAGACACCAGCTACAGGTTTGACGCAGCTCTGTCACCATTCCAACGCCAGTTATTTTCCACCTTCCTTTTTATTTCTGTAGTTTAAGTGTGAAGTCCTCCTTTCTGAAAACGACTTGGGTGCTGTTCTGCAACCCAGATCCTTCTAGTTAATGACACTAGCCTACCAAATCTTCGTTAGTCTGCGTTCAGTGACGTGGGAAAAGAATCCTCTTCCGCCCTAGCACTTAGAGGTGGCAGGTTTTGTGCGTGCTAGGCAAGCACGTTACAGAAACGATGCCACAGAACATTACAGGACAAGAACCCCACGTCTGCAGCTGCCAACAATCAAGCTTCATGCACTGGAATGGCTCTGGCTGACACTACTTTTTTGGTGTTAAAAGGGCCCTTTGCAGTTTTATTGTAGACAGGTAAGTCTCCTTACGAATTGCAACTATGCCTTCAACCACCGCAAAGCCAAATACCCAGGAAGTTACTAAAAACTCCTTTTGCCTGTAATTTTTTTTTTTTAGAGGAGTTACCGAGTTAACTAACAAAGGGAAATTACAGCTCTCTAGCATCGCGCTGTTCCTCTGATGTCGCAACCGTCAGAGCAAGAGTGCATGTCGGCTTGTGCTTCGGCTCTGTGAGTACTTCACGCACAAGTTGAGAAACTCGTGCGGCGAAATGGCGCACCGACTGTACACCCAGCGAACATGAAACAGGACAGCACAAAGGGAAAACTGAAGGGAGCACCATGCTAACGCTCAGGATCCAAAGAAAAGCAGGACCACATTGCAGGGAATCATCTTTATAAGGCAAAAGCGAGTGCCGATGCTTTCTCAAGGAATGCTGAATGAGTAAAAATACCTCGGCTGGTCAGTTATTGAAGTACTGCCAATATCCATCATAGTAAGGAAAGAATATGCCAAAGATATCCACCAGACTAGCGGAAAAGTTCCAGCAGCCACAGCACAAAGCATCACTTAAGTGGATAACTGAAGCAGCGGGCACTCGTCCGAGAGCAAAGGCGGCAGCTCCGGCGGGGGGGTCTGCGCCATCCG